GAGTATTCCAATGGAGTTGATGTCAATCAGAAATCCTAATTCGAGCTTGCTCTATAGAGCTCATTCTCGTCCACCTGTCACTCTCTGTGCTCCACGTTCTCTCCTTCCTAGCCGACGCCATTTCAGTGCTCCACAGTTGGCTCGACCTGTAGTTTCTTGCACTGGGCTACGTTTCGGGTTTAGCTCAGAAGTCTTGCTTAATCGATCCTTCGTTGCTTTCGCTGCGTCTCACGAGGACTCGGTGAGTACTGGGTTTTGCTCAATACTTCGAATTTATGTGTCGGGGTTTCCGAAATTCGAAAAAGTCTTATCTTTTAAATTGCTTGAATTTTCTTGATTACGATTAGCAATCGAAATAATTGAACTTTAGTATGAGTAATTGCGGATTGTGAAATGAGTTTGATGTAAAATTTTCTTGAATCTTGATTAAGAAAATGCAATTAGATTCAAGAAAATGCAATTTGGGGTTTCAATTCGGCATTTTTTTTGTTTTGATGCATGTGTATATGTTTTGACCTATCTATCAAGTGACAGTGTTTGTTATGATCATTACTCTGACTCATTATCACCATTTTTTCAAGCAGGAACAATCAGGTGTTGAAGTTGGGAAGGAGAAGAGTGAAGATGATACATCTCCGGAAGCATGGAAACAAACTCTCGCGTCGTTCAAAGAACAGGTTTCGAAGATGCAGAGCTTGTCTTCGGAGGCATACACCGTTAACTCTCAAAAAGCAATGACAATCTTGAAAGATACTTCTGAACAACTTAGGATTCAAGCGGAAAAGGCGAAAGAAGAGTTGGGTACAAAGGCAAAAGAGGTTAGCGAGGAAGGTAGAGAATATATTTTGAAAGCGGCAGAAGAGTCACCTTCAGATGTGAAAGAGATCGTCGAAGCATTCGCCTCTACTGAGGATCTGAAAGATGTGTCGAGAACGCAAGATTTTCATGTTGGAATACCCTATGGTAAAAAAATTATATATCTTGTTCCCGTTTTAAACCACTTTCATGGTGTGCGTAATCGGATGATAAAAATGTCTACTTTACAGGTCTACTTTTGCTTGTGGGTGGTTTTATTTCCTTTATGGTATCGGGAAGCATTGCGGCCATTAGGTTTGGGGTCATTCTTGGTGGAGCTCTTTTTGCACTGAGCCTAGCAAGTCTAAAGTCTCAGAGGAAAGGAGAGTCATCTACTAAGTTCTTAAAAGGACAGATGGGTCAGTAACGTTTTTTCATCAGTATTAACTCTTTCATAAATCACCCAAGTAGCCACAACTCCAATTGCTGAACGTACTCTAGCTACCGACCGGAATTTTTTTTTGATTGGGTATGACTCTGATAAGTGATGACCCCTGTGACTTGCCAATTAGTTAACCATGAAGGATAGGTAGAGTTGCATTGGTGACTTGTATAGAATTGAGGCTTAGTGCAAGATATGCTGGGACTTGACTAATCATAGACTTCGATTTTGGTCAACAAATGATAGTTTCAACAATGTGATTTGTGAGGTTGTCCGACAAGGCGACAAATTTAGTGACACTCATTTGTTGCCGTGTTCTTATGCTCAACAGCTATAGTGGCAATCATATTTTTTAGAGAGTTGTGGTGGCTACTATTTCAGGTACATGACTTTTTGTTCATACAGTTCACTTATTTGAACAATGGCTTTGAATGAAACATAACTCACTCTCCTTTTTCTCTTTCTACAGAGATCTTCGTTCCCCGGTTTTGTGACCACCCTTACGAGGTACACTCTTTAAACCAGTCATTATACATAGTACATTTATTTGGGTCCATCGACCAAAAAAGTTCCTAGATTCACATGTTCCTTTGATCAAAGTTCCTAAACTTTTTGGATTACTGTTGCAGCGGTGGTGTGTTGGCGTTTTACGTGTACAAGTTGGTGAGCAAGAGAGAAACGGAACCAAACTTAGAAGAAGATGGAGGAGAAGAGGAATTGGGCGATGGGTTTGTAAGAAGAGAAGGATAGAGAAAGATGTGCTGTTGTCAACATCGGTATCGTATTTTGTGTTATTTTGATATCCAAACTCTTTTGTTGTGTCTCTCTTTTAAGTTGTTGTGTACAATTTTTGCCATCGATCATCTTCTAAATTCTGTGTATTTGGATTGGCATGTCATTTTACGATATATCAACAAAGAATAAACATGGTTTGGCCAATCTTGAGATGCTATAAACAATAACTAAATGAATCAATTGAGATTTTTGTTACTTCAAAATGTTACAGCTATGAGTCTCCGATTAATGAGTTTAGTAGTATTTAGTGATAACCATAAACGATGTAAAAGAGTCAGCATAATCTCCCTCATGATTTTTAAGCCAACTAATCGAGCTGAAGAATCAAGCAATATTGGATTCGGTGCTTCTTCTTAGGAGCAATCAAGTTCCAAAAAACAGAGGAAGTCCTTGAGACGCGTAAAGGATGATTCATTTCTCTCCTAAATGACACGACAAAACCAACGAGGAAGTTTGATCTTTTAGCAAAGAATCAAAGCAGGATTCGATTAGAAAAGGTTAAATAAATACAATCCTCCTTTTTTGTTTGCCAATTTCTTTTGGTCAACTATACTAATGAACATGTTTTTTTTAACATATACATTTTAGATTTTAGAGAGAGTGTTTACATAATAGCTATGCAAAGCCATCAAAATACAAATTAGTATTACAAATAAAGTTAAACAGGAAAGAAAATGAGTGAGATTGTACGATTTTTTTCCAAAGAATTTCGTATTTGTTCACGAAAAAACCCAAAATAGAAATATAACGATTCTGGCCCAATAAGGGCCCATAGTTGATCTCGAGGAAGAAGCGTGAATCTAGTAGTATCCATAGACTCAGCCACGTGATCGAAACCGTTGATTCTCAAAGGGTTTTTAACTGAAACCGTTGATCGCTTTTCCTCTCGGTTGCATAAATAAAATAAATAGAGAGAGAGGAACACTGTTTCACTCCGTAATCTCTATCTTCTCCGTCGCCGAACAAATCTCGTAATCCTTTTTTATCCTTCTTCGATTTTTGCTAGTTCAGATTTCTTTTTGGGTTGTCTTTTTTTTTTCTGATTCGGCTTTGATCTGTCGGTGTTTTTTTTGCTTAGAAATTTGGAGCTTAGGGATTTCGAGGGGACGATGGAAAGTGAATTGATTGAATTGTTCGAGGCGGCGAAGAAATCAGCCGATGCGGCGGCTCTCGACGGTGTAACATCCTCAGGTCCGGAGGTTTCTCGATGTCTCGATGCCCTTAAACAACTCAAGAAGTTTCCTGTTACTTACGACACGCTCGTTGCGACTCAGGTGCGTTTTCGCTTTAAACCTAAAGAGATTGATTGGTTCTTCATCTAGGTAAAACGTCTATGTATCTCTTATTCGTTGTTTAGATTGGAGGGATTTCTTGGGTCTTGCTTGCTTAATCTTGTTGCATTGACTTGAGTTACCTTAGATTTTTAAGATTAGGGTTCTTTGATTTCATCTGAAAATTTACATAAAATTTTGGAAAGATACAACTTTTAATCAATAGATGAAGAAGCTTGAGCAATGGCATTGGAACAATCTCAATTTGGTCATTAAATTCAGCTTGATATGTTAGGGTAAGGGAACAAACCTAATTTGGCACATGGAAACCTAATTTCATTTGATTAATGATTCTTCTTGTTTACAGAATGAAACAAGTCATGCATTTAGAAATCTGTTTTTGCTTTTCTCTAGTTAGGATATTGTATTCAAGTGTGCACTGATTTTCGATTGTTTATATGCGTATTGTTGGTTCTTTGTCCTCTGAAATGTTGATAGTTTTTGTATTGCTTCAGAGAAAGTTATATCCTTTTCTTGCTTTTTCAGGTAGGGAAGAAGCTGAGGTCTCTTGCAAAACATCCTGTTGAGGATATCAAAAGTGTAGCTACCGATCTGCTTGAGATATGGAAGAAAGTTGTCATTGAAGAGACAGCCAAGGCTAAGAAAACCGAAAGCACAAATGGTTGCAAAGCTGAAACTGTCAAAGAGGAGAAGGTAGATAGGATGGATGTTGAGAGGACTTCAAATCCTGCGCCAGTCAAAGTCCAGAAACTTCAGAGGGGTGATTCGGCTAAGAGCATCAAGGTAGAGAGAAAGGAAACAGACAACAGAGTCATTGCCGGTGTGAAGGTAGAGAGAAAAGAGCCAGAAAACAAAGTCATTACCGGAGCCAAGATAGAGCATCGTGGTCAGGCTGTAAAGGCTGAAAGTGTCTCAACAGAAAACCAATCAAGTATGAAAGCTCCAGCTAAGGCACCTAATGGTCCTCCAAAGCTAACTTCAATGGTCAAATGCAATGATCCCGTGCGAGACAAAATCCGTGAGTTGCTTGGGGAGGCCTTGTCCAAGGTTCATGCAGAGTCTGATGACTACGATAGAGAGAAAGTAAACGGATGTGATCCATTCCGCGTTGCTGTCTCAGTGGAATCTCATATGTATGAGAAATTGGGCCGCTCAACCGGTACTCAGAAGCTTAAGTACAGATCTATAATGTTCAACCTGAAGGATAAAGACAACCCAGACCTAAGAAGGAGAGTTCTGACTGGGGAGGTGTCCCCAGAGAAACTCATCACAATGTCCGCTGAAGAAATGGCAAGCGACAAGAGGAAACAAGAGAACAACCAGATCAAAGAGAAATTCCTGTTTAATTGTGAGCAAGGTCCTGCACCAAAAGCAAGTACGGACCAGTTCAAGTGTGGGCGGTGTGGACAGCGCAAATGCACCTACTATCAGATGCAGACGAGGAGTGCTGATGAGCCGATGACGACTTATGTTACCTGTGTCAACTGCAACAATCACTGGAAGTTCTGTTGAGGTGAGAACTACTATGTGTGTTCTTTTTATTTCATGAAAGACCATGGTAAGACATTGAGGCTCTGATTGATTTATGAGGAGCTTCATGTCTAGTTGCTGGCATTCTGAGAATGTTCTGGCTCTGATGTTTGTTTAAGGATTAAATGTCGTAGAGATTAGTAAGTAGGAAAATTTACTAATTTAGATGTTTGTAGCTCTCTTATTTCATTCCTTGTCTTGTTTCAAAATGTCAAACTCATCAACTTTCTCGCAGATTTTATCAAAGTTTTGAAGTTTATTTTATTTAGTTTTAGAGTTACGTGTTTTTTCCTTTTGTCTTCTTGTCTCTAATCATCTTGAATTGTTAAAGCCTTTCATGTATCGAAAAGAAAAGTCGAGCATCAATGTCCACTGATTTTTGATCCAAGCTCACTACAAAGCAAAGGGCTGATGAAAAAAATGCAGAGGAGGATATTGCGGCCTTAGACCATTATTGTCGAAATTTTATTGGAACAAAGAGGACATTTTTGTACATTTTCTCTACCAGACACAGACATGAATGCATAACCTCCAACCTAAAATCAATCATGCGGTGTTTTACATCTTTCCAATAATTATCTTACTGTGTTCTTGGACTAGTCCAGTGGGCCATAAACCCAACCAATAAAAGGCCAGTCTTGCTGGTGAATCTGTAGGGCTATTCCTTCATTCTTCACCAATCACCATGAAATCAGCTAATTTATTGGGTTTGTTTTCAATTTTCATCGGCGCTTTCTCTCTTATATAATCCCACTTGCTTGCTTGTTGTTGATTTTAACGTTAGTTTCTTCAAAAATGTTGGAAAAGTTGTTCGTGTTCCAACTTTTTGTAAGCGTCTTCGGTAAGCATAGGTGCTGTGGCCTTGTCGAGTTTGCTTCTTCTAACGAAGCGAAGAAGGTGAGAGTGATGAATAGTCATTTGAAAGTTAGTGTATACTTATGTTATTCGAAAGCACCATTGCTGATTTAAAATCGTTTATACTATAGGTGCTGGAAAAGAAGAATGGTGAATATTAATTTGCACGATCACAAGATTTCTCTTCAAGTGGCTAGAACAGCTACACAACACTTGTAAATTGATTTTCCATGTTATAGAGATTTTGCTAGAGTTTTGATGCCATTACAGAAGACTAACGCTATTATTTATGTTAATTAGGTATTGCATTGATCACAAGGTGGTTTGGTAAGGAATTTAACTATTTGCCTCTTTAGTTTGTTAACAAGACCACACTGGGTGAAGGTGTTGGTTTACCTGGAGAGATAACTATTGTTTTTGATATTCCAGGTACAATGAAGATGATTTGAAAAGTGGTGTATACTTATGATGAAAAATATACAACTAGTTATTTGAAAGTACGATTGCTGATTGAATCTTTCAAACTGTAGGCGCTGCGAAAGAAGAATGGTAAATATTTGTGCGACCGGAAGATTTTTCTTGAAGTGGCTAAGATGGTTCCAAGCAAGTAAGTTGATTTTCGATGTTAATGTTATGGAGCTTTGTTTCTGTAACACTGGTTGTAACTTATTGCTGGAGTCTTAATGCTATGACAGAAGACTAACGCTATTATTTTGTTGATTAGGTATTTCATAGATCACAAGGTTTGGTAAGGGATTTAACTATTTGCATCTTGGTTTGTTTTCAAGAGCACATTGGTTAAAGTTTTTGGTATACATGGAGAGATCCCAAGGGTTTTTCACATTCCAGGTACGAAGACTATCTTCAACAAGGCAAATGTATATGATGCTGCCAATCTTACAGGATGGGCTGTTCGGGGACATCAAGGACGACAACACCAGTCTTTATTGTGTCGCATTCGGACGGAACCATTGCCAAGACCGAAACAGGGGAAGGATGTAGTTATGTGGAGACATTCTGATGATGACTACAAGGATCACTTCTCGGCAAAAAAAAAACATGGGAGCAAATACGATCAAAGAAAGCAAAAGTCCCATGGTGTCAAATTGTTTGGTTCACACATGGGGTTCCAAGCAATCAAGAACCGATTGGCAACGGGAGATCGAATGAGAAAGTGGGGATTCCAGCAAGATTGTGTGTTTTGTGGTGAAAAAGATGAAACAAGAGATCATATATTATTTGCTTGTCCCTACACTTATACGGTTTGGGAGAGACTTATTGGCAGGTTACTAGGCCCTAATACAACACCAGATTGACAGGACACAATGGAGGCTCTACAGCACTTAGACCGCACTTCTTTGGATTCAGTGCTCATCCAGATGATCTTCCAAACAACGATCTACCATGTACGGCGGCAACGAAATACGAGACGACATCAGCGGATTTGGATAACAGCTAATCACCTTATTCGTCTCATCGACGGGGCATTGCGTAATCGAATACTCTCACTCAAATATAGAATTCCTCACAAGTTTGAAGGAATGTCAAGGCGGTGGTTTGAGGTTTCAAATCTTTGAATTATGTATGTATGTATTTTAGCAGGAGGCAGGAACCATAATGTTATCATTTTTGTTTTCTTCTGAAAATGTAATTTTAACTTTCGATCAATAAATTTGAAATTTCATAAGAAAAAAGTATTTGAATATATGTGATATCATTTAGTTC